GAAATTTTATGTTTTTCAACGTAAAATAAAACAATTTTGAACATAAATTTTACATTAATAGTATTTGTTGCTTTAAAAAACAGTTACTCCTTACTTTATAACCACATTTACCAAGGAATTTAATCTACTTACATTCACAGTAAATATATACAAGAACATAAAAAATTCAATTACATTATAAAAGTCATGGCAGAGCCTTTACATTGTGAAAATAGTTCAGGTCTGTGAGTTGAGAAAGGTTTATTTGAATGGTGGTTCAAATTTTAGGTTTGAGTCAAGTCTACTCGTACTTTTTCAGCATGTTAAATACGAGTAAAGTGAAGAAAGTTTATGTATCAATGACCATATGATTAAATTGTGCAGAGCTCGTTATAAAAAACTATTTCTGAATGAAATAAATTTAAGGAATGTTTATATACGAGTAGCTACAGGTATATGCAATTTGTAGATTCAAATCAAAATAATAAAAACAATATTATACATGTTTTCCACTTGAGAATATGTTAATGAGATGTAAAAGAGTTCATGAAATCAATTTTTATGCAGTGTGTTTATTCGAATGTGATTTTCTTTTCAATTGAACCTTTGAACCAATTGAAATATCAAATAATAATGAGATAGGATACGAGTAGTTTTTTACGCTCACTTCCAATCAGAAACATTATGTTGGGATCTCGAATAAAAACGACCACGCGGCCTGAAGCATCTAAAAAAAGAGCTTCATGCTGATTCAACATTGACTTCAAAACGAAATTTATATTAAACTAATGTTTGCGGATAAAGTCTAGTATTTAACTTGATAAAAACATATCTATATTAATTAAACATACCCTTTTCAAATATTTGGTTATGTGTTGTAGGTATGTAGGTTGGGTTGCATAAGAAAACTGTCACTATTGGCACTTTAATATTCAATTTTCCTACACGAACATTCATTGAGTACAAATTGCGTGTTGCCTTTTAAGCTCCGTCATTTGCGCGAGTTTTACGACGTCTAAACTCCAAGTAAATTATAGTCATGGGTGAGAACCTAGCTCGTATAAACCATTTATCTTTATTTTATCTTATACCCTTAGACTACTTGCAAACGCTGACTTAATATTTATTACAATCTATCAACTTAAAATGGCTATTTATTGACTAATTTAAAATAATCGTCCATCAACTAGTTAATGAATTTGCAAGAATAGGTTAAAAATACACATTCGGAAATTTATTACTCTTTCTAACAAGGATTCCTGGATTTAATTTTAATTAACAACGGTTTAATCTTGTTCAGTCATGTGAACAGCTTCGTGTTGCGTATAATGAATGCCAGTAAATCACTGCAAGGATGTTGAAATTTAAATTCAAAACACACGTTCGTTTTCACCAAACTAACTCATTCAGTTTAATACATTCGAGCTATTTCAAGAATTGCTGAGTTCAGAGCCCAATAGGTTTCAATATTGTAAAGGGTTTTCGTAAATTTTTTAGTAGGGTTTGTGATACAATGAAATTAAAACAGCTTTACAATTAATCCACATTAATCATTTTCAGATATTATATGAATGTACATTAGTAGAAACAGATATTAAATAATCTGCGGCAGATGCCAGGCGCCTCCACTCTATATTTCATTCATATAAAATATAAATTCATGAATCTCCGAAGCACTCATAATTTAGAGTTAGTAAACTGTAGCGTATAAGGCATTATAGTAATTATTATTCATGTATCAATTTATAAATCAAGTTTGAAATGTAAACATGAAAACTATTATGATTTTGGGATGATTTAGGTAAATATTTTAACACCAGATTATATATTATTTTATAGGATTATCATAGGATATATCATAACAATGAATTACGGCTTTTCAAAATTAAATTGAATTATTAAATTAGAAAATATCGAAAATAAATTTCAATTTTTTCCACGTTTTTACAGGGTTTTGAAATACAAAAAGTGTTACTTTATACACGGACGATTAAGACCGTGACTAAAGTACTTTACTTGTGACTACTTAATATACTATTACCAGATTGCTAAACAATTGTACAAGAAAATAAATTTTAAAATACATTTTGTTGCAATTGTCTGCGGTTACAATTGTAACGCGTTAGTGAAATGAGTTTAATAAACTTGTCGCGACGCATAATGTTCACTTAAGCGTCAATTTTAAGAGTCCTCAGGGTGCCATAACAATCATTTTAGAAAGAATATTTCATTATTAGAATAATTGCGTGTGTTTTTGGGTACTGAAGCAAATTTATGTTCGTACACAAAAAGAAAGATGGTCTGTTTATGACTTTAAATAACAGCGCTTCAAAAACCTTTATCGCAAGTTATTTTAAAAATTGTGAATATAATGTTGGTGTAAGATGTAATAAATTTTTTATATGCATACTGTAATAATTACAAAACTCAGGAATTGATTTTAAAATGAATTTTAAAACTTTATTACATGAATAATGCATAATCGTAAAATGAATAAAAACTCTGACACTTATAGCAAACACGTAAATTACAACAAAAACACTTTTTTTTCATACTTTATTCAGATTATGATAGAAAAACTTGGCCGGTCCTTTTATATAATAAAAAAATTTATACAAAATTTATTCCTTACTTTACCCAACGAAATTTTCTTTTCTTTACTCCATTTTTTCGTTTTATTCGTGGCCAAGTTGAACATAAAGCACGAGATTCAATTTCTTATCGTGCGTCATTGATTTATTCTCGCACGTTATTCCCGGATTTCTATAAAGTACGGAAGTTGTGCGCAGTTTTTTGCATGTTAGACTTGAAATGTGATCATAACTGTGAGTGCGCGTTGAGCGTCCAAAGTTGAAAATGAAAAGAAGCATGTGGTAGTGCTTCGCGAAGAATATGATTGCATGTAGCACTTACGTGGTTTGTATACATCACCATGACGTAGTTTTATTGCCGATCACGAATCAATTCAATGCCTTCACGTGTGCGTTTACTCTGCATGCGAATTTTGCTAAATTAAGTTTCAATTCAGCACACGTTTTCGTAAGTACGGTCATGGGGAACCTAAGCTTTGCACCATTCCGGCAAATATGAGCTTTTAATGAGAAATTTACGTAAGTAGCTGAGGTTAAAAAATAACTGCCGGTTTGTTAGTGTTGGCAGATCACGTTTTTAATTACAATCTTTTTTAAATTTACATTGTTACATATTTATACTTTGAATATTCTAGGGTGAAACTTGAATATAAATTTTTTTTGTTTGAATTTTCATTTTTGCTGATTTTTTTGATAAAGAAAAAAATTTTTTTTCCTCAATTTTCTGACAATGGTAGCAAATTATATAAATATGTAAACGTTAAATTTTACTTCTTCGGCGTATATAGGCTATAATTAAATAAATCTTATATAATATGATTTCTGCCAAGAAAGATCCAATCTGGCTGCGTAAAGTTTAAGCTTTCTAAATGAATTTTGTATTTTCTTGTCTCCTTCCGGCTAAAATTTTGCAAATATGATTTAAATTACCATCGCACAATTCATCTAGAAGTCAAGAACGGATTAAAACCTAAAATAATGAAGAAAGTTATGAAGGAAAGTTATATTTAACAATTAATAATAAATCAGAAGATGTTTTCGGAATGTTACACTCAATAAATTAATGAATTTAGATATGTAAATGAAGTACGAGTGATATGGTAGCATATAGAAATCCTTATTACAAAGCTAATTTACTCATATTGTACACGTTTAATTAAGAGATAATCAAACACGTTCGCGGCTACAAATAATTTAAATTCAAGGATGGAAGGATTTCCTAGCTCACATTTGGTTTGCAAAGCGGTGCTTTTATGTTGACAATGCACATCCATCAAGTGAAGCTACATAAATCTATTTTTGAAAAGCATGCATTGGACATAACCAATCATAAATTTTCGCATTTCGTATGCAGCGATTTTAATACATATTAGTATAAGTCACTACTTGAGATTGAATGCCGTGTTTATTCATATTCTATAGTAATGATTTTAATGCATTAATTAATACGCAAAAAATAAACTGCATTCTAATGTTTTGAACTTAACTTTTAGCGTTAGTAAAACTTTATAAGAGCAAGAGCTGGAAAATGTGCGAACAAAAGTAAATCAACGTTTACTTTGCAAGTGGTTGGTTATTGCGATGAAATATAATGAAATTGGTGGAAAGCATAATTCCGAAAAAGATTAATGATGAATATTTGTGCTACGCATACATTTCTCGTACATTAAACAGAGACACTACAAGCATAGGAATTGTCTAAATAAAGAATAATGAAGACAAAATAGATATACTAACGTGCTATTGTAATAATCTATGTTTTCATCCTTGAAAAATTACTTTTAATTGAGTAAAAACTCAAAACAACGCAATTTTCCAGTTTATAAATTATATTGCATGTAAAATATTAATAAGAACATATTTTATTACAATTTGACAAAAATATATTGATGTCAGCGCTCCTCGTTTATCATCTTGAGCGCTGGAGCTACTTGCGCCATTTTTAATATCACGAGTGCTCTCAACTCCCACGTGTGATAAACATCGTCTAGCTTTGGCTACCAAAAATAAAAAGACATGAGAAGGCATGTCAGTTTTATTCATCAAATCGGCATTAAACGATTTACATCTTGATATTTTCCTTCAAAAATCACGTCCACGCAAAAAAATACCATTATATAACGAAATGGAAAATATATATACAAAAGAAATAAATCGTTTCCTGACGTCTCCCTCGGCCTTGCTTGCTAGATATACACAAAGCCTAAGCTGTGCAACATTTGTTACAGATATAAAAGAATTTCACAATCGCAATTTCATTTTTTTTTCCTGTTTCCGTCACGTACGCCCTAAAATTTAGGACCTAAATAGAAGCCAACGTTTTATGTGCTTGCAAACAATTATAAATTATAGTAGCTTATGTGGCTACACAAGCGGAGATAATTGTGAACTAGTGGAAACAATATTAACTTTTCATTCTTCTGATTGCAGTCGCAGTGGTGGTCGCATTTTTCATCTGTTGGGCACCGTTCCATACGCAGCGATTGCTCGCGACATATCTGCCCTCGGACACACAAAGCCGGATATTTGACGCAGTCACGTATATCAGCGGTGTGCTGTATTTCGTGTCCACAACGATCAATCCCCTGCTGTACAACATCATGTCTAACAAGTTTCGCGAGGCATTCAAGGTAGATATTCAAAGTTCGCAGCTTATAACACGTATCCAACACATATTGAATTATCCCTGCTTGTCATCCCCCAAAGCCAGAAAAGATATCTCGCTCTGCATGTTTCATGAGCACACACATAGAAGGAAATCCACGTAGGCAATTGAAGTAAAGCAAAGCACAGAGCTTCTTTTGCAGGAAACGTTCAACCGGTGCTGTCGGGCTGCGCGATTTAAATCAGACCCGCCACGTCCGCAAAGGTCTTACTCGGTTCTATCCCGATCAGCGCAGCGGGGCGGACACGAGTCGTCAGACTCCTACAAGGACGACCATAGTTTACACACCAACTCAACTGTAACAACCCACCGTAAGGAATCCTGCGATTCAATTGCCATGCAACAGACTAAAGGTGGAAAACGGTAACTTGTGTTTATACAAACTTTTTTTGGTGGATTATTTTGATTATCTTTTTATATTTTTTATATAGAAACATGGAAATACTTGAAAGGCATTCCTATGTGAGCACTGGTCGTAACTGGCCAAAGGATCGCGTTGATGTATGTTTGACAATGATACCAAAAACGGATTTGGACATAATCACTCCCAGTACTCGCCTGGTGGCGGTCAAATTAAGCCATCCTCAACCCACATCACCTAGTCGAATTGAGCGCGTCTGGCGACTGCTGCATTGTGCTGAGCGCAATCCGGACGGAAGTTTTTCGAGTTTAAATTCAACGCCAGCGAAGGACCAGGCTGGCAGAGCGAGTCTTTGTTCGCTGGCGTCCGACGAGTGCAATAAGCACAGGTGCGATATCAGCAACAGCAGCTTACGGAACGTGGAGATGGGCGAACTGGTCGACGAGCTCAGCGCATACATGGAGGAGATTAAGACGCGCGAACTATCTACATAATTTGCCAACTTTTCGTCTAGCGGTATTCCGCATCCCCGTTTAGCACTAGTAACTCCACAATTATGTGATAAATGTGATAAATGATAATTTAGCAGCAACAAGACACATCTTTATAAATATTAATTAACTTCCACATGAGGATATTACGAAAATGTCCCCGTATGTGTTGTGTGTTCCCTGAAAACACATCGAAGTTTTGCTCATAAGAAAACATCTCGATTATATATTTATATATTTATAAATATCACTTGTTGTCGTTGATTAAATGATTAAATGTGTTACAAAATGGGAAAAAAATCAAAAATCATTAATGTGATGTTAAAAGTTAATTACAGACGCAAATGATGCTAGTCATAATATATAATCGGCTTGTTTGTAACCGACCGTCAAACAATTAATTTAATTATGCGATTTTATAAGTGTCCAATTACGTCGCATGTTAATTCGGCGAATCCAACAGCGAACCATCTTTAATTGGAACCGGAGAACTGAATTGTATCTATAAATGTAACTGTTATAATATGTATAAATTATTGATAATTGTAATTACATTCCTATAAGCAAATAAATTACTGATATACGTTTAAATATTCTCACAGCATTGAATTTATTTTGTGCAGAGCCTGCGTTCATGTATCATAAGTCTAAAAAGATACAAAATTTGCAATTTTATTTTCTGTCGTAATCTGAATTTAAACAATTTTTAGTTATTAATAAAAAATGCAATTTTCAGTTATTAATAAAAAAAATGCAATTTTTGGTGGAGGTGTCAATTCAAAAACATGATGTAGAAAACGATTTATATCTTGTGAATTAATTAACAATCTTTCAGTTTCTTTTAGCCAAACTTTAGTGTAAGATATGCTCTATATGATGCATACTTTTTTTACTTTCTAGACTCTTTGGAAGTGACCCAAAATGCTGTTTAAAAATTAGCATTTTTCAAAAAAATAATACATAGTGTGGAAAATACCCTGTATTTTATGAATTATTTAACTTTCTTGAATCTTCTTACTATTATAATATAATTTGAGAGTTTCTCTACATGATGTGTTCCCTTTCAACCCTAAACTCTTAAGAAACTATATATTACTTTAATGTTACACAAAGATGCACAATACGAGTAACGCAATCTAGTAGCGATGTAGGAACACCTTGAACATTCAATTCGAGGTTATATTTATTTTATTTCGCCATGTGCGATGTTAACAGTTTATTACCTATATTAATGAAAATATCAAAATAGTCTAAGTTTACATAAGAAAAGTAATTGCTGCAATCATGAAAGTTAAAGTAATTAGTCGTGACCCAAACGACTTTCTTCGTGAGACCAAAAAGGAAAATCACAAAGGTATAATTATTGTTCATCAAATAACTGATTACTTTTACAAAACAAATTACAATTTTAGTGCCCAGAAACTATGACCCAAGTCTGCATCCTTTTGAAGCAGCGCGTGAATATGTCCGAGCACTAAATGCAACCAAACTAGACCGTGTTTTTGCCAAACCATTTATTGGCAATCTTGATGGCCATCGGGATTCAATATCATGCATCAGTAAGCATCCAATTCATCTTACTACACTTATAAGTGGTGCATTTGATGGTGAAGTAAGGGTGTGGGATATTACTCAGAAGAGATGCATGAGGGAATTTGTTGCACATGATGGCATTCTGCAAGGTGTTGTGTACATGCCTCATGGCAATGCTTTTTTGACTATTGGTGATGACAAAAATATTAAAATGTGGAAGTCACTCACTCCACAGTTTGGTGAAGAGGAAGCTCCAGTTAACACTATGCTCAGTAAGAGTGTATTATCTGCAATAAGTCATAGTTACAGGGATAAAACATTTGCTACATGTGGAGAAGTTTGTCAGATTTGGGAGGAGGGCAGGAATGAACCTATCAAGACATTCCAATGGGGTGTTGACAGTATGCATGCTGTAGCTTTCAATCCAGTGCAAAATAACTTGATGGCAGTTTGTGCCAGTGACAGGAGTGTAATTTTATATGATACAAGGGAAGCAGGACCATTGCGGAAAGTTGTGATGAAGTTGAGAGCCAATAAATTGGCATGGAATCCAATGGAGGCATTTATTTTCACTTGTGCCAATGAAGATTTTAAGTTAGTCTAAAATTTATATACATATAGTTAACTAAAGTAAAATGAACACTTTTTTCAGCCTGTACTCATTTGATACGAGAAATTTGCGGCAACCAGTCAACATTCACAAAGACCATGTTGATGCCGTAACTTGTATTGACTATGCGCCCACTGGTAAAGAATTTGTCACTGGAAGTTATGACAAGTCTATAAGGATATTCGAATGTGGCAAGGGACATTCCCGCGAGGTGTATCACACCAAGCGAATGCAGCGACTCACGTGCATTCAATGGTCCCTAGACAACAAATACATTTTAAGTGGTTCTGATGAAATGAACATTCGTATATGGAAGGCGCGAGCGTCCGAAAAACTTGGACCTGTATGTTATAAATATTTGCCTGTTTATTGGCTTAATTTTGTTCTTTTTGTATAGTTAAAACCAAGGGAAAAGGCCGCTTTGAATTATGCTGATGCTTTACGTGAGAAATTTGCTAGCCATCCGCAAATCCGTCGTATTGCTCGACATCGTCATGTGCCTAAACATATCTACAACGCGCAGCAAGAACACCGAACGATTCACGAGAAGGAGAAGCGCAAGGAGAGCAATCGTCGCACCCATTCCAAAAAGGGATCGGTTCCATTCGTACCTGAGAGGCAAAAGCATGTGCTCAGGGAGGAAAAATAGTTGTTTATTATTGATTTATTCTTATCTCACCAGAAGTAATAAAGTTCATGAACCCAATGTTATTTTTAATGCTGTTATCAAGTGTTTCTGGACCAGATTAGCTCATATCCCTACCACTTTACATCATTTTGTAAACTTTGCCTTCTGTACAATTCAAATAAAAAGCGACACTTTTACCACTTGTTCGAAGTCTATAAAATGAACGCATTGACAAGACGCTTGTCCATGATGAATCCTACATTTGCAAGAAGAAGTTGCAGTTCAAAATCAAGTAGTAGGTGTTTTCTTTGTAATAATTATAATTTTATAACATTTTAACCTAATACTTTGTGGAATTCTTCTAAATAAATATGTATAAACTCTATTTTAGCACTGATTGTTAAGAAAGAGGGTCATATAACGACGTTTGGAATCAACAGACCAGAAAAACGTAATTGCATCAACAGTTTAACTGCACAAAAACTCAAAGATGCAATCAAGGAGTTCGAGAATGACAGTAATGCTTATGTTGGTGTTTTGTATGGGCTTGGTGGTAATTTCTGTGCTGGTTATGATTTAAGTGAATTATCACAAGGAGGTACAGGAAATGAGATTTTTAATAAGCCAACTGGATATATGGTAAATATTTTCATAATGATGAGGTTGTACATCAATCTACAGATGATTTTAGGGACCAACATTAAGGCACATCAAAAAACCCATGGTAGCTGCAGTCAGTGGATATGCAGTGGCTGGTGGCCTTGAATTAGCTTTAATGTGTGATTTGAGAGTTGTAGAAGACAATGCTGTGATGGGTGTTTACTGCAGAAGGTTTGGTGTGCCATTGATCGATGGTGGCACTGTTAGGCTGCAAGCTTATGTCGGACTTTCAAGAGCAATGGATTATATTTTAACTGGCAGATCAATACCAGCCAAGGAAGCATTTGAAGTAGGAATTGCTAATAGGATTGTGGCAGTGGGCACAAGTTATGGTCAGGCAATTAATTTAGCAACATCATTGATTAAATTTCCACAAAAATGCATGAATGCAGATCGTGCATCTGCATACAACTCTGCATATTGCAAAGTGTATGATGATCTATTAAAATATGAGACTGAACATGGTATTCCCATTCTGACAGAGGAATCAGTGCAAGGTGCGCAAAGATTTGTTTCAGGTGTTGGGAGACATGGAAAGTTTCATAATTTAACTGAAAAAGTAAAACCAGAATGGGAAAAAGATGAGAATAAGCTACAGAATAAATTGTAAAAATATTGAAATATCTGTGATAATCTATCTATATTTATGTTTAAAATTGGCGAGTAACCTTTAGCCACGCAGCCACATTCGAACAGGAGGTAAGAGGAGTTGTGAGTTGAAATCAAAGCAGACCTCTTTGACTAGTTTTGTAAAATTATCTCTTTGCGCAATAATCACATTGTTTCCTATTCTTTATTACAATGAAGTAATTAATGGAGAAAACTTGACCCATATTTTTTCAGTTGGTATTAATATCCCATTGGGCGCGTCTATTTTTAAAGGATATTTCGTTTTGTCATCAATTTCATAGTCAAAATTCCATAGAATTAATGCTAAAGCTATTTTACTTTGTAATATTAAATGTTGTCTTTCAATGTCCAGATCGATGTTTCCTTCCAGCCTATCTGGGTTGAACACATCCGGTTCAATATACTTTTCTGCATCACGTTGAATGGCAAGAATTGATACAGCTAGTGGAGTTCCTTTTTCAATTTCAATATTATCAACAAGGAACGCTTCTGAAGTTTTCTTTCGCAATATTGGAATAGGTGGGTACATCCTCAACGATTCTAAGAAACAATAATTTTAATTAATATTGAATGCACTTATTTATAAATAATTCAATTACGTACCACGTATCACTGCATCCAAGTAAATCATTTCCTCTAAAGCATTGTAATGTAACGTGTAGTTATATTTTTCTAATATAGTACACACTTCACCTCGTAGTTTACTTTCCACATTTAAATTGCGTTTGATTTCTATCAGACTGTAACTAATAGTGACCGCTGAGGTTTCCACTCCACTTACAAAGAATGACATAACTTGCTCGGCAATTTCCTCAATCGTCATTTGCGTTTTTTCGCCGTCATCATTTTCTGCGTCCAGTAAACTTTGTAGGAAATCGTGACGCAACGTTGTACTCTGTTTGCGATATTCTATCGCCTCTTGAACAGTTTTCATATAGAATTTATGAGCAGTCGAGTCGTAAGCGCTCATTCTAAACCGTTTTGCAAATTGCGGAAACCAATCAATCACAAATTGCTTCACCACTGTTTTTAACGAAAATGCACCGGCACGCAAACTCATCTCACGTATTTTTGAACACAGTTTAGTCACTTTAAGAAATTCATTTCCAAACGCTAAAGATATCATCATTTCAGTTGAATAGCGCGTTGAAACATCACAAAAATCAATCTGTTTGTCACTTTTAGATGACTCCTGCAACGCTACGATCAGATTCGTTGCCGAATTCAAAATTACATCAAATAATTGTTGCGCATTTCTCTTGTCTTCGTACCGTTTATTTTGCACAATTGCACAGTTTTCCAGTGAGCGTAAATCCGTAAATAACAAAATATTTTCCCACGTTAGATATAAACCGGCAACGCGTTGGCCTTCAACTTTCATTTTCTTGTAAACGTCGCCCATCTCGTGAACTACATTCGTCATCGACAAGAACATTTTGATCTTGTACGTGGGCATGCCACGGCCCTCCCAATACTTTTTCTTCGGCCACACATACTGGTAAATTAATAACAGCACGATAATCACGCTCAATATTATGATCATACTCGCGTTGCGGTTTGCGCAAAACTGATTCGTGTCAATTTCGATCAAACGGCATTATTCGATACACATTCACATTGCGATGGTGAAACGAGTTTTAAATACACCGCACTCCGTTAGTTCAAGCGAAGTTTAAGTTTTGTTGTGATTTATTTTGATAATTACATAATGGTCGATAATATGTTGCCATTAACAAGTGGCCAACATGAAATATAATGTGTGAGTGTTCTACGACTTTGTGAGCAAGACTACCAAATTGAAGCGATAATTATTTGTTTTAGACAGAATGGTGGTACCGGGATTACGAACTGGTTTGAGCGTGTAGTGGCGGAAGCAGTAGGTATACATTTTATTGTATAAAAATGTAGCACTCAAATGCTAATTTGGTTGGCTTTTGAATGCGAATATATAGCTTGCGCATGGTTTGTTAATTTCACTTGTTAGAAATGTATGTCATTACAATAAAGTAATAAATAATTACGGTGATTACACCATCAAATGATCATTTTGCACTTTCTAGATGTGACAACAGTGACTCACTTCCAAAAATAAATTGGGTACCATTAGTTTAGAGTAAAAAATAAAACTTATTCAATGTCAAAACAATTTATAAGTTGCTGTTTGCTAATTTACAATTCAAAATTTGTTTTCTTTTATTGTCGGGCCTGGAAACTGACTTGTACTCCATTTTCTGCTTTAAGCGCCATTTTTATTGATAATTTTACATCTTCAATTGTTTTCACCGGAGTAAAAAACTTGTATTTTCTTAATAATGTCGCTAAAGAAGCTTTCAATGTGATCCATGCAAGTCTTGTTCTTACAAATTAAAATTTATAAATATTTATTTCAATTTGATTTCAATTTTATGATTTTAGATACCAAGTTCTTGCTCCAGCCAGAAACGGAATATAAGTAAATTTCTCCTGTTTAGCCACACTACTTGGAGAAAAACGTTCTGGATCAAATTTTAAAGGATTCTCCCAGTACGATATAATGGCGATCGATGCATCTTCAAAGGATAAAGCACAAGTTGTGTGCTTTTGGAACAATATTACCGTCTAATTCAAACTCATCTTCGGCAACTCTAGCGACAATGGGCACTGGCGGGAACAAACGTAAGACTTCCTTGATCACCTTCTCCATGTATACTAATTTTGACAAATCATTGTATTCAACAGGTCGATCAGCACCAAGAACATCCAATAATTCTTGATAGATTTTTTCCTGTATTTCTTGATGCATAGCCAATGATAAAATGGCAAAAGATACACCGGAAGCACATGTCTCAAACTCCTGACAAATAAATTTAATTAAATATTTAATTGGTTGATAAATATTAGTATAATTACCGCAACTATAAATGTATTCACTTCATCTTGGACGAATTTATCCGTAAAATGATTGTTTTCGCCTAAGTCAAATAATTGATCTATAAATTTGCGTTTTCGAGCTCCTTTTACATAGGTTGTTATATCATTCTTGTTTTGGGCTTTATTTTTTCGTATCTTGCTTTTCTTGTGTAGAAAATCTAGGAAATAATTTATGGTTTTGAAAAGTTTAGTAGAAAATAAACATGTATACTTTTCGGCCGAATTCAAGGGCATAATTTAATGCTTTTTGTTGGGTTCTATAATCTTTGGTCCATTTATACAAGAAATCTGGATGTTTTATTAGTGAAATAACTCTGTACATAGTCAACTCCAAAAAACTAAAAACATGAAATAAACATAACTAAAGTTGATCAATCAAATTATTAATTTGTTACTTACGTCTCTGCATTGGTGTTTAATTCAGCGCCTTTAGTTTGTACGTCTACTTCAACGTCAAATGCAGCTTCTAAAACAGTTTAATTTTTTAGGAAATTAAAGAATTGGCTACTCAAAATATCTAACTCACTAACAAACATCTCAATAATGCATTTAGCTATATCATATGTTATATCAAACGTGGTTCCAACTTTTGCCAGCCATTTTTCCGCAAGGACATCCGCGCATTTTCTCATATCATCTGTATATGGAGCAATTACATCCGGATGCATGGTGGGTCCCATTGCTTTGCGATGTTGTTTCCATTCCACGCCGCCGATGCGAAAAATACTGTCACCGACAAAACCAGCAAAGAAATCGTAAATGTAATGTTTTCGTTTGGTGTTGGGATGGGTGAGTATGATGGCCATGTGTGCTGCTTTATATGTCATTATTGTTTTACTTCCTAGGACATTTATAAGGCGGCCAGACTCTTGAGACAAATATTCGTAAAATTCCATGAAACCTAAAATATTTTATTTATGTAGACCGAAGTATAATATATCGCGTTTATTTAATAGCAAACTTTTCATTGATGGATTCACATATTTTAAAACTCCGAGATGTCCTAGAAAAGGGATGTATGTGAATGTTTGATGTTTAGGATACTTCCATGTTAAGTATAAAGTGCGTCTATGCTGCACAATTTGTATTAAAATGAAGAGCAAGATTGCAACTATTAAAACCAACATGTTTAGACAACTAATTTTTCAACTAAATCATTTCATTTGCGAGAAGATGCAATTTATATAAATTTAAGAAATTAAATTTTGAATATAAAATTTGAACTTAGTACACTTTTGTCGATTACAATTTACAGGGCAAAAACATTTAATCAGTGTTATAATAAATAAATGCTTTAAGACATAAATTACGCTCGATAAATTTGCGATAATATCCGTGAGTATAATTTCCTTGCAGTTGTGCAATCAAGCAGACGGTTAAAGGTTTATTGTTGATGGAATAAATTTAAATTTATAATACAACAATAAATTGGCATTATGTGCATTGTCTGGTATAAAAAAAAAGAACGCCGAGTAAATTTGTGGAATTTGATTAAGAGCGCGTTTTGAAGCGACTTAATCTCAATCTCAAGTACTTCTGCTATTTTTGTTGCGAGTTAATTCAATACGTTTTAAATAAAATTATTCATTACAATGTGTACAAGTAATGAATTGATCTTGAGGTTAATTCAAAGTCAGAAACAAACTGAATACAAAATAGAAGCAGGAAATAAAAGAAAATCCTTGTTAATACTAAAAGTTTAGGTTTATAGTTTGATATACAACTTGATTTTATTGCTAAAATACAAAAAAAAATCTAATGGAACCCATTTATAACTTGATTTGGTGGTATTTAATTCATCATCATAAAACTTTGCATTTTGGGGAGTGTGTGCTTCTTGTGTGTTTCACATAGCGTCATGGACTAATTAAATCTCTAAATTTTGTTAGACGGTAAAGGTGATTCGTATTCATGGCATCGTATGAGGGTAGCGGTAAAAGTGACTCCTATTCAAGGCACCGTACGAGGGTGGCGGTAGAAGTGACTCGTATTCGGGATACTGTTCAAAGGTAGCGGTAGAAGTGACTCCCATTCAGGACACCGTACGAGGATAGCGGTACAAGTGACTCTTATTCAAGGCACCATATTTACGAGTTACTTGTACGGAGCATCGAATGCGAGTCACTTTTACCCCTACCCTCATAGGGTGCCATAAATACGAGTAACCTGTGCATTTACTTTTCTACGATGCACCGAATGAGAGACATTGCTCATGTTTTTTTGAGTACATTTAGTAAAAAGTATAATTCTTTTTTAGTAACATTCTTTTCAATTCATAAATTTTATTTTCATAGAATTTTTATAATCCATAACAATTTATATCAAACACCATTATCTAAACTTTATACTTCTAGTTTAACAAAACACAAAATAAATCAAACAAACTTGGAATCAACGAAATGAATAATTAAATCTTTCATCTGTTGATGATACAACCGCTCCTTTTCTGGATTAACATACATGTTGGCTAAAAAGTCTCCTTCGGTAATATCAGGCGCATCTTCACTCTCAGTCAACATAGCTTTACGTATCAGAAAACTGAGCACCAATCCAAACTTACTCAATTTTTCCCAATGTTGCTTAAACGTTTTGTATGGATAGATTTCCTCTACTTTGAGATTAAACTTGGCCAGGTGTTTCCCCAAAGCATCATGATACACTTTCAAGAAATACTCCAAGTTTTCATAACTTTCTTTTGGCGAAATCGTATAGAAAAAGTATGACAAATCCAAAGCTGGTGATCCTAACCTCATTAATTGGAAATCTAACATTTTCATATCGTTGGGTTTGGTATGGTCTTTGCTATCATAATGATACATTCCATTATTGCACCAACAGTCACCTTGCAAAATCACATCTGCTTCATGAAAAGTCAAGATTGCTTCCATTTCTTTTGGCAAAGTCTCACCAAATTTGGTCAATGCATCAATATACTTTTTTTCTTTCACTGAATCAAATATGTTGACAATTTTTTTAATTCCACCTTGAATTTGTGCAGTAAAACCCATTTTGATAACAAATCTTAAAAATACGTCGTCTTTCATGCTTTCCGTGATCTTTTCGTACATTTTCGGGTTTATTTTTTGCATGGCATAAGACGTACCATGGAATTTCGCGAATGTCTTCAAGGCGAATTCCAAGTGCTCTTTGTTCATCAACTTTTTGCGATCCCATAAATCGTAATCACTCACCTTAAGGTTTTCCAACACCAACAATTCGTTGAGGGGTTCTTTAATAGAACCGTAAAACTTTGGCACATTGTCGAACCCATCTTCAATATGATTCTCCAGCTGAAGTTTGGTGAATGCCGGGATAATTTCCTCGTAAAACTTGACTTCATTTAGATAAACATCACGCAGTGGAAGACTTTCATGCGACTTGGGGTTGCGATGCGAAAATTTAAACACAACGTCCAACTTTTTGCCTTTCCCGACTAATTGCACAGCTTGAACAGTACCCAAATATCCATCTCCTTTGTTGGTTGAATATTTCAAGTCCAGTGTACAATCTGGGATGTTTTCTTTAATGCCCACTTCACGTACGATGGTGGTAAAATCGTAGTCTGTCATTTTTAAATTCAGCTATGAATCAAACAGAAGTTGAAATCGTAATGATGCAGACAGCTCAATCATTTCCGAAATATAAACAAAACTCAAGGCCAAATCATCAAAACATTTGCTACTTTGATTTTGGTAAGTGTTTATTTACTAAATAACCCACAACGGTAATAAGTCATTAAATGACGTGAGAATTATAAAAAAAAAACTATTTTATCTTTGTTTTTACGACGTGAATATTTTATTTAAAATAGCAATTAATTTACATTATAATCTAAGTGCATTACTAAACAAAACACGGGTTAATGGAAACAGATCATTAAATAATAATAAAAACGAAATAATAGTAAAATGTTAATCGTCTCGCTAATAAATACAGATATTTGGTATAAAAAATTGATGATTTTACAAAAATTCACGATCAATAAAATGTATCACAATGTCTTTCATCTGCTGCTTGTAGAGTTTATCTTTTTCTTCATCAATATACATAGTATTTAGGTAATCAACTCCTTCGGCGAAATCAGGAGCATCTTCTTGTTCCAACAACATCATTTTACGCATGGAAAATGCTTGAATTAATCCAAAAAGTGATATTTTTTTCCAATGGTTTAAAAACACACTGTAAGGATACACTTCCTCAATATTTAAATCAAATGCGTTTAGGTGATCTGCCAGAGCTTGATGATAAAATTTCATGTATTTATCCAGATCGTCAATATTTTCTTTTGATGCAATAGTATAAAAGAAGTATGACAAATCCATAACAATCGAACCAGTTTGAATTATCTGCCAGTCTAATAATTTAATATTTGTAGGTGTTGATCGATCGTTTTCATCATCATACTGATACATTGCATTGTTATTCCAACAATCGCCTTGCAAAATAACATCATACTTATCATGATAATCAAGAATTGGATCAATTAATTCTTTCATATTAACACGGAAATACTCCAGCTTTTCATAATATTTTTTCTCAGTGTTTGGATCAAAAATATTCATGGTGTTAATATGGTCACTTGTTTGCGTATATAAATCACTTTTTTCAACAAAATCTTTCCAAATATTGAAATCATCCAGACCATCAGTGATGTTCAAATACAACTCAGGATCTAATTTTTTCATTGCCATTGACGTACCGTGCAGTTTTGCAAATGTTTTCAACGCGAGTTCTAAATGCGATGAATTCATTTGCTTTTTTCTATCCCACAAGTGATAATTACTGCATTGAATATTCTCCATTGCTAGACACTCGTTTAGTGGTTCATTAATGCATCCATAATACGCTACTGAATGGTTAAATGGATCCTGGACGTTGTGTTTATCTTGAAACTTTGTAAAAGCCGGCGCAATCTGCTCGTAGAAACGAATTTCTGATGTGTATGCATGACGCAGAGGTAGATTTTCATGAGCGATGGGATCACGATGAGAATATTTAAAAACCACTTCTAATTTTTTATTACTGCCAACAATTGACACCGCACGTACTGATCCGGTATAACCGTCACCTTTGTTTGAGACTGAATGATATTCAAGTCGGTGATCATTGATTGTTTCTCTACTCGCGATGCTGCGAGCTAAATCGGTAAAGTCGTAGTTGCTCATTCTGATTCAGACTACTTCACACTACTGATTGTTACAAGTGGTGGTATCTTCCTCAACACTTGCAGTTTATATACTCGTATGGTAGGAAAATTTACACAAGGCACTCAATATATTCATTCGTTAATGGCCGTAAACAGTCATGTATTTACAATTGCAGTGTTATTTTTATACTTAGTGTTAACAATAAAAGTAAATAAATATTTGATCTTGCGAAACATGCAATATCCTGTGTGGGTTTGAACTAGACATGTTTTTGACTAAATTTCTAATAAACATCTACCAGACAAAAATACAAGTTAATGCCCTGCCAAATATTCTTTAAAAATAGCTAAAGTTATTTTTATTTGATTTATCAACAACATAAACTTTTTTTTTATTTTGAAGATTTATTGATACAATAATTAATTATTCATAACAGGTACGATTAAATTATTCTAACATGTTTTGATCAACAAAATGCATAACAATATCTCTCATTTGTTCTTTATAGACCTCTTCTTGATCTTTAGTTAAGTGTAACTTAAGCATAAAATCATCAAGGCCTTCAGCAAAATCAAAAGTATCTTTAGCTTCAATCAACATCATCTTACGCAGTGTAAACGTCATTAAAAATCCAAATATCGATAATTTTTTCCAGGCTTTATAAAATACTTCATATGGATAAACATCTTCGATATCAAGACCAAACGCTTTCAAATGATCAGACATGGAATCATGGTATAACTTCATAAAATAATCCAAATTATCCATACAAGATTTCTCAGCGATAGTGTAAAAAAAGTAGGACAAATCCATTATAACTGAACCAGATGCGATGATTTGCCAATCTAAAAGTGTAACATTTTTCGGCTTGCTACGATCATTCATATCATGATATTGATACATAGCGTTGTTACTCCAACAATCTCCCTGTACAATAACATCATATTGGTCATGATAAGTAACAACCGCATTCATTACATCATGTATATTCACTCGGAAGTGTTCCAATTTATCTGCGTAGGGTTTCTCAAGGTCGAAATAATTAAAAGATTGTATGATGTCGCTGACTTGTCTGTACATATCCGCCTTTTGGAAAAAATCGGCCCAAATGTTAAACTCACCGAAAGCAGCCGTAATTTTCATATAAAGTTCCGGGTCTAATTTTTTCATAGCCATGGATGTACCATGGAGTTTTGCAAATGTTTTCAACGCTAGTTCTAAATGCGCCGAGTCCATGAGTTTTTTCCTGTCCCATAAGTCGTGATTATTACATCTTAAATTCTCCAGAGCAAGACATTCATTCAATGCCTCGTTGATGCATCCATAATACTTTGCTGTATTGTTGAAAGGTTGTTCAACATTATACCGAGCTTGAAATGATGCGAAAGCTGGTGCGATTTCTTCGTAGAACTGAATTTCGTTGATGTAAATTTCTCTGAGAGGTAAATTTTCGTGAACTCTTGGGTCTCGATGAGAATATTTAAAAACCACTTCTAGTTTCTTATTACTTCCAATGATTGTCACCGCACGGACTGTTCCGGTATAGCCATCGCCTTTTTTCGATGAGTATTGATATTCAAGTTTATAATCTTTGATGTTTTCACGAGTCGCGACATTGCGGGCAATGGTTGTAAAATCGTAGTCGGTCATATCTGCTCGCAACTCAATCAATGACTGTCCAAGGCAAAGTGTTAACAACAATTTATATATTATGTACTCGTGCATTGAGCTAAGCATGCGTCAATGCCACATTACATAACATTGACTATGATTATAATTTATTAAAGCAGATAATAAATACGTTTCATTAGTTAAATATTTTTATTTTTATACAAATCTTAATATAATAGACATGTGACTGTTGAAAAATGCTTTATAATGTTTAAAAATATTTATTTTTTTATTAGATAAGATATTTTTGTTAGAAATGTTGATTGTTATGTCAGTGTTAAGTACTTTAAATTTCATTAACTAAATAAATTCACGGTCAACAAAATGTACCAGAACTTCCTTAATTTGTTGTCTATATGTTATCGCCTTTTCTTTATTAATGCGTATTTCCGGAAATCCACTACTTTCAGTAAAGTCCGGTGCTTCATCACTATCTAACAACATCATCTGTCTGAGAAGTACTGTCATCGAAAGACCAAACAATGCAAATCTTTTCCATTGCGATTTAAATGCATCAAACGGAAATACTTCATCGGCATTTAAATCAAAAGCTTTCAGATGTGTGGATAAGGAGTCATGGTATATCTTCAAATAATAATCCAATTTATCCATTGTCTCTTTAGATGCAATCGAATAAAAAAAGTAGGACACGTCCATTACCACTGGACCAGTTTTAACCAATTGCCAATCTAGTAACTTAACATCTTTTGGTTTTAAGCGATTGTTCATATCTTCATACTGATACATTGCGTTGTTACACCAGCAATCTCCTTGAAGAATAGCGTCGTATTGGTCGTGGTAGTTGGTGACCTCTAGAATAAATTTACTAACATTTTGTCTATAATGACGCACACGTTCTAAATAATGTGCTTCGGTAATAGGATCAAAAATATCTTCATTTTTCTCCACTGTTTGTGCCACACTCTTCCACATTCCTGCATTTTCTGCATGTTCACCCAGTATATTATATGAATTCAACTTAGCTGTTATTTTTTTAAACAAGTCTGGATCCAACACTTTCATTGCCATGGAAGTGCTGTGATATTTTCCGAAAGCTTTCAATGCCACTTCTAAGTGTCCAGGGTTCATCATTTGCTTCCGATCCCAGACATCGAAATTACGCTCTCTTAAATTCTCCAAAACGATGCATTCATGTAACGGTTCATCGATATGTCCGTAATATGCAGGCAGGTTGTGAAATGGATCCTTGATGTGGTGTTCTTTTTGAAACTGCATCAATGCTGGTGCAATTGTTTGATAAAATAAAATCTCTTTGGTGTAAATTTCTTGCAGTGGCATTGTTGTGTGGGCTTTTGGATCACGATGCGAGATTTTGAACACTACATCTAGTTTTTTGTTTGATCCTTGAAGAGTGGCTGCTTGGACTGATCCAGTGTATCCATCGCCTTTTTTCGATGCAGCGTGAAGTTCCAGTTTGCAGTCTTGGATGCCTTCACTGGCCGCCACATCACGCACGATTTTCGTAAAATCGTAACTGGACATTCTTGCTGCTAGTGAATTTGGGACACAACTGAGTGATTTGCGGAATTGGCTATTATTATATTAATGATGGTATGTGCAATTATCAGCTTAATCTATCGCATTGGCCATTTTTAAACAATTTGCCCTTGAGAAGTGAAACTTACCTCTACTCACAATATTATTTATAAATGTATTGTATATTTCAGGCATTCCTGATTGCGATAACTCTTATCTATTCACATAAATAAAATCAGTTCAAAAACAATTCTGGATTATAAAACTTCTAATTTAGCTTTTAAAATTGATTTATTTGAAATTTTAATTTTAATACATCCACACCATAAAAGTCACAAAACCATAAAATTCTCTAAATAATATTAAAATATAATTAACATATATATCCATTATCAACCATATGATAAATAAGTTCCCGTATACGTTCTTTATACTGATCCTCACTTCTGCTTTCAAAGTCAAAGCTATTCATTACACTGTTATCATCATTAGCTTTACTATCGGCAACATCAGCCAAATCTGGCACTTCATCAACATCACTAAGCATAATTTTAATCAAGAAAACCGCCATAAAATACCCAAATCTACTGTATATCTTCCAGTGTTCTTTCAGTTTACTAAACGGAAAAATATCATTCGAGTCCAAGCCAAATTCAGCGAGATGATCATGAAGGCTTTGATGATATATCTTTAGATATTCATCTAAATGTTGAAAGTTTGTTTTATCTGAGCACACATAATAGAAATAAGATAAATCCAATACAGGGGACCCTTCCTTGCACAATTGGAAGTCTATTAATTGAATCGAATCCGGTTTGCTTTCATCATCAGCGTTCTGTAAAAATAATAATCAAATGAGGTGTCTGGTGTTGATTTTTTTTCATTTTGATAAATAGTTTACCTTGTATTTAAACATCATATTATTACACCAACAATCTCCATGTAAAATGATAGAATAATCATCTAAATCACTAGTAGCTTCGAATTTCTCCATTGATACTGAGTTAAACTCCGAAATAATATCATAATACTTTTGGTCTTTGATTGGATCAAAGAAATCTTTAACTTTCCCGGACATTTTCTTCATCAACCCGCTAAATCCATCTGTTCTATTGAACAACTGCATCATATCTACCAAGTTACTTGTCATTTCTTTATACAACGCTGGATTTAGTTTCTTGATTGCATAGTTTGTTCCATGATAACGCCCGTATTCGTAAAAGACAAACTTTAAATGTTCGTGGTTCATTGGTTTCTTTCTGTTCCATAATTTGTAGCCATACTGTTTTAGATTCTCTAAAAACAGAATCTCTTCATGGTTTTGTCTACGAATAGCATAACACTTCGGATAGTTTACGAATGGATTTTGCACGTTGTGTTCTATCTGAAAGTTTAGCTGGGACGGCACAATTTTATCATAAAACCACATTTCTGTCAGGAATGCTTCCCTGATCGGTGCTTGTCTGCGTAGATTCGCACTGGTGGCCGCATACTTTACAATCACTTCCAAACTTTTGTTCCTTCCTATCAATTCAATCGCTTTTACTACGCCGAGATACCCATCGCCTTTTTCATTCGCGTATTTATATTGAACTTCCGGAGCAATAATATGTTCAGTACAAGAAACCTGCTTCACCAACGGTGCCAAATTCACCTCCTCCATTATTTTTTTATTTGCATATGTAATATACAAGTGTTAATGCAAATGTTGCCGATATTACTGTGAGTGTTTAGTTTGACTAGAATTTATTTATACTTGTTTGGTTTTTGATGTAACCTTGGGGGAGGCAGCGGTTTCTGATGATTTGTTATTATGATATTTGAGAGTTCAGAGCTACTTTAGAAGAGTCATGATGATCATTAGAAATATTGCCCACAATTAAAGTATAGATAATAATGGTTTAAGTACTATTCACACAATATATCTCGCTTGTCTAAATGAAAGTGATTTAAACTAATTGGGACCAAAGAGCGTTTTAACAATAAAATTGCATACTCACTCTATATATTTATAGATTATGTAAACTTTGCGTTAGATAAGATATGAAAATGTGTGGTAAGACCACACGCCATGGAAATATATAATTTTTTTCAAAAATCTTTTAAATTTTGCGGTGTTAAAGATGAGAGAAACATCATATTAAACAAAAACAATGTTTATATCAATAAAAACATGTTTTTTACTCTTATATTTACTCTTTTTAATGTATTTACAGTATTGTTAATTGCTACTTACCTTTTCTCGTCATAAAACATATTCATTCATCATACATTCTGCAAATAAACATTTGTAAATCTCTTATCAATGTTATTAATGGCATATATTTTAATAAATATTTTTTATTATGTAGAGCATTAATCAAGGCCACACAACATATTTACCATTCATTATTTATTATTATTTATTTAAATATAGCGTCAATCATAGAATCATTGAACATGATAAGTAAAAAGTCGAAGGACGTCCACATTGCACGGAACCAGGGTCTTAGTGAAACACGTGGCGCACCATTAAACAATCATATTTAATTAATACAGGATTACAAAATAATTGGACAAATAAATAAGTTGTTAACATCATACACAGAGTTGTGCTCGAAACACGAAACGTCAATAACTTAAATAATTTCATTCATTGTAACAAAATCTTGTTTAAAATGTAATATTCATGATTTAATAATATTTAATAATAACTGCTGCATGTTTTTTTTACGTACAATAAACAAATTGACTGTAACAAAACCAGAGGTGGTTATTAACGTTTCAAATGCTCGAGCTATATTTCAATGGGTTAGACAATTTCAAGACAATAAAACAGTTTGTTATTCTTCATTTTCTTCTAAAAAGCACATAGTAACATCGGCAATTTACGGTCATATTTGTGGTGAGTCGAGTTGAAGGGATGTATAAATGCTAATGTTATATCAAGAACGTAACCAAATCATTCTTTCTGCCAATCGGTGCATATTTGCAAAAATCTTCCTAATTTGCAACGTACTTGAAATATCTTAGTTTAAATTTTGCCAAATGGATTGTGACTAGTCAATTTAAATACTTTTAGTCATGTCATCGTACGTGGCTCATCGAAACCATGACATCAGCAACAAATAAATATTAACAATTAATTTCTTTAGTTCTTACAAATTATATATACTCACGTTGCCTATGCACGCTGAAAAGGTCTTTATCAAATTCTTAAAAATGTTTCTTTTTTTGTTTGATTTTGTAAAAAATCTTTTGATTATGCCAAATTGCCTAATTTTATAAAATCTAGTAACGCTCGACGTTGTTCGCTTATCAATACTTCTTAATCGTAATTTTCATGCTTTCCTAATCAGTTTTATGGTTTTCCCTTCGCAATACAACTTTAACTTTTATATGTACAATAACACTTACACGAGACTAGGTTGTTTTCTAATGTGATTTTATGCAACTTAAAAAAATCTCAACGAATGTCATTGGTCCAAACAATCACTTATCGATCGGGTAGTAACAAATACCTTATACTCTCACTACGCATGCGTAGTAGCTCACACGATCCAATAAAAGAGTATAAGTGATTTGTGTCACATACATCGCGTAATAATGATAATGATTTTACACTTTGGAGTGATTGATATTATTTTTTGATCAATACACGCCGGGATAACAACTACAATCATGCTTGAGTTGAATCGAAATTAATCCGGTGGATTAACTTGTTTATATTATATTATAGGATATTTAACATGCTTTAAATGCAAGGTATCACAAGGTACACACAGAAGTGTCTTTTAACTCGTCACGTCGTCACCCACTTTCGTTGAATCGCGCCGTTTTCGTCCACCACGAGAGGAAATTGACACTGTGGATAGGAACAGCAATACGGACGATGATAAAATCGTTGGGAACATCAGCTTAAACATTGAGGTCAGCCATCATTTTGCGGAAATCGGCTAACGTATTATATTCTGGGTCGATATCGATGTCAACGAAGTCATGGGTTGACTCCGTTCGCTCAAAAATTGGGTTGTACCGACTGAGTGATAGTGGACAGGGCAAGAGTTCCTGCATTACGGAATGATGAATGATTAGGGACGTCAAAGTGCCAAACTCTTTTGTAAATCCCTGCAAAGAAATAAATTTTAAATTAGTTTATTACCTAAATTCTCCAATAAGCAAAAATTACCTTAATTCTATATCCTTTGTTGGTTTTCACAATCAAATAATGAGCAATTCCCGTTTGTTGGAAGTTACGGGGAACGCGTAGAGACAAAGCAAAACAACCAATCTTACTGGTACTCTCTCGTACCATAAAAGCCCCGACTGGTTCCTGGCCTAGAATCTCCAGAGCAATTTCCCTGGGGATACCAGCTTGAAACCAAGGTGCTCCCCGTAACTCATCTTCCTCCTGGTTGTTCAACGAATCACTCCTTTCCGGCAATGGGGGCGGAGTCGGTGTAAACCCTAGGTTACCCTCGGTACCCAGGTTTTGCGAGCAGGATCCACTTGAAGTTGAACTAACCTGTGAGATGCGCTTCATCTTGTAATCCTGGATGTTCACTTGCGCTGGCAAATTCTGCAGGTTGTTCCGATTATCCTCATTCAGGTTGGATCTCACATCATTCTTGATACATTCCAACTTGCTTGTTGAATCAGCGACAGTCTCGTTGACATACCCTCCACTAAGCGGACGATTGGTGGGACTTACAGGTGTGCTATTCAAAGAGCTGTCGTTATTTACCAAAGGGCAGCTATCATCGTCTTCATGATGGTGATTGTTGGTAAAACCCATAGCCAATCGCTTAATCAATGGAGGTTTCTCAGCAATTCTCTTATAAGAGTTCATCTCAGTTGGAGAGTTGCTTTCATCACTGCTAGGTGTACTCTGCTCAGAATGACTTTTGTCTGATGAACCCAGCACATTATATTTGTGCATAACGTTTAATCCTGGAATGGAACTCGGTGGTGCTAGTCTCAAACCACCGCCGACACCTCCGACTGCATCGGCATTATTCAACTGAACCTCCATTGAATCAGTTTGATTGTTGATCATGCCGGTCTTTTCCTTCTTCAGCGCGTTCGACAACTCCTTAGCCTGATCAATAAAGAAAGAAAAAATACCAAACGTAAGTTAAAATCGCACCGAGTTGATAATTATGCCGTCGAGGGGAGACGCGTCTTACCCAGAGCACTTTATCCGATGTGTGCGTTTGATCGAGTTGCGATGCAATTACATCTTGGAAGGTTGGCTGTTTCTGCAGCTGCGCCGCATACGCCATGCGAAATGCATTCCCCACGATTGCGTTGAGTTCCTCGGCCTGCAAAACGAAAAAAGAAGCTAATAATTTTCCGTTGCACTTCAACTACAACGCAAAAAATACAAAAATAAAACTGAACATAAAATGTTAGTAAAATATGAACCGGTGTCTTATTGTCTTTGAGGAGAAAACTTTTTGCGAGGAATCTGTTTTTCTTTTACGTCTGCGTCATCCTCGTAAAAGTGTCTATGGTTTCTCCATTAATCAACTGCTAATCGAAGAATGCTTTCCGAGTCGCGTTCGCTCGCACCCGACCGAGTGATAAATCGTTTGATATTGCCGCATCAGTGACCGTATCAAATGGTGTCTTTTCTTTTAGTGTATACTTTTTGTTTCCACCAACAGCAACTTCCACTAACAGTACTAATCATTAGCGATAATATGATTTTCTTTATTTATCTGCAATAAAGCAGCGGCAAGAAGTGAAATCTCATTTTCTCCGCGCGTTTTCTATGCGTGTTTCCCAGCGCCACGATGTGAAATGATCCCAATTGACTTGTCATACGCTTTGATTGACATCTTATGTTTAGCGAATAATGAAGTAATTAACTGAAGTCATTCACCAACCAGTGATACAAAGAAACAAGCACGAAGAAATGGAAAACTGATGTAGACCTCAATCAAGTGAATTAAGGTGTTATTTTCTTTGCTTGAACTTTTTGTTCAAGATGTCTTCTTGGTGAGCGCATCAATGTTTTTTATTTCAGTAAAAAATAAAGAATAAATAAAATTCAACAAAAAAATTAATTTTTGTCACCTTGTACATGTACTATTTTGATTAACCACTTAATTTGGTAAATAAATCATAGCGTTTGAACTTGAGTCAAAAAGAGTTTCCACCATGCGCTCCGGTAATTAACAAAATGTTTATTTCTGCTTTTTATATAATATAACCGTCGGTGGTACGTAATGTGCGGTAGCCGCATGGTGCTTGCGCAAATTTTCAACTGAATTATTCCGACAAGGGGGGACGGCAAACGCGAGCGTCGTAGAGAGCAAATTTGCTAATTAGTTCAACGAGCCGTCAACCGACGTTTTCCCCTCTTTATTATTGTGAGAGCGACGTCGTTGCGCGTACCCCCGTCGTTGTTTAAGCTCGGCTTGACTAAATTCATAGTTTACTTTAGATTTGACTCGAATTCCGTCCGCACAACGAAAGTTTTAACTGCTCTCGTGAGATCTCGAGCGTGTTTATCATCAATTTCCATTGCGATAATTAATCGCACCGACGACAAGTGTGAGAAATCACAAATCACACTTGAGTTTAAATAATTTAATAACAATAAGTGGGGCGTCGGCGTTCGCAAGATATATATCTTCATTGTCGTGCGGGCGTCAACGACAGGTAACGCAATCCCACAGGTAATAATATATCACAATAATGCTCCATTATTGCTGTTGAAAGTGAAATATCGAACTGGAATGCTGGCTTTGTGTTCTGCGTTTCTTTTTGCTGTTTGTCGTTTTTCAAATGCTCGTTTATAAGGAAAAACGCACATGTTAAATATCGCAGCAAACAAATACAAACTCAACGAAAGAAAAATGTGACATGAAAGACGTGACCGAATTGATGTCTTTTTTTTTCCGTAGCGTATTGTGCATTTCTCGTTCTGATATTCTTAACATTTTCAACAAAATACAAAAAATTCCGCGCGAGTTATATAAATGACCTTCCACTACATTAATTTCCCATCAACCGCCCACGACCGACAAGATGTTAGCGTATTTAAAATACACATTTCTCACATTCCCAGATTTCTCAGCGTGAAAAAATGAGACGATATTAAAATGCAAAGATTAAGCATGCATTCTGCACGTCGCAGCATTATTTATATATGTATGAAATGATATTCAAGCAGTTGCGTTGTTATTATTAAGCTTCAGTCAGCCGAGTTCGTTTAAAGCGTTTCCTCTTGGCTTTGAAATTCATGATAAATCTTGTCGTCAGCGTCTCGAGTCGGGTCGATGCAAAACTGCAAAACGCCATTAGAATAACAAATTCATTTCTGTATTTTTCCGCGCTGTGTTTTAACGACAGCGCAATTCATATGGTAATTATTTCGTGGCGTAATTGAACGTAGGACGAAATCAACCTACGAGAACTGAATTGCTCCAGAAGTCGCACAAGGTGATTATTTATTATACGTTTTATTTTTGCGCTGCTTTTTAATTTTAATCGTTACGTTGCAGAGCCGGAATTCGTTTTGTTCGCTTGCGTGATTTAATAAGAATTCCTGTCGTCGACAACGCTACAACGGCCGATGAATGCAAGATTAATTAGATGTTTTGAATTAAAATATAAATTGCATTCGCGCTCATGTTTTTTGTTTGATTGCAATCGTTATGTTCTACACGTTCCCATCAAGATATTAATCTGAAATGTATTGATTTTATATTTCGAGATCTTGAGATATGCAATCAAAAATGCAAAAAATCAGGTTTATCTGCAAATGTTGTTTACGTGGAACAAGAGGAACATGACGCTTTAAACTTCAAGATGTCGATGGCAAGTTTGCAAGCGACTTTTATAAGCTGCTTTCGTACATCCCGTCCTCAAAAGTTTCATTACATCGAGATGTCATCGACGTCGAACTTAATTCCGGATATTAAACCTTATCATTTAATGAACATTTTCGATTACCAGCCGTCTCCTTTGTCTCTGTTTAATTTCCAGTTGTGCCCTTTTTTACGCAATCATCAAATTTAACTTGTTCGTCAAAGTTTATTCGTTTGCACAGACGAACGAAAAACAAGCATGAGTTTTATTCGTCTTCTTTTTGTTGGAAAATAAAATTAGTCAATACAAATTTCGCGCAAAGTTTTTCAGCGTCCGCAAGACGAAGCGGAAATGAAGTGTAACCAACGAGTTAATTAATAAAGAGTGTGTTTGCCGAGCGCACGAATGGTCCAGTAACGCAGTGAAATTGAAAGCTTATGCCGAGGGTAAACCAGATGAGAGACAAACAAAAAAACTTTTTTCGAAAAAGTTTATCGCCGCTTTTTGCGAATATCTGCATACAAAATATGAATTATTCATCGGATATTTTTCCGGACGACGGTTGCGGGACTATTTTAATATCGGCATGTCCGGCTGCAGGACGACCGAATCTGAGAGGTTTGTGGAAATACAAGCGTGGAATGCGTACATTCCTACCAATATAATTTTACGACCGCAAGGGGCTCTCTATGACAGTCAGATAACTGCCCACCGAGAAGAGACCAGATCCACACCACTTCAAACATGTCCTTTTTGCTTGGGAAAAGTCCAGACGCAAACATATACACTCCGGCGACAACCAGTACCAAAAGTTGTGTAATATCCGAGCATCTTCAAGAGTATTGAAGTATACTTTAGATATGAACTCATCGGCGAGACGATGCAACCGCACTCCACTTTCACAATGGCACACGAAATTTGTATATTGTATAAATTGGCTCAAAACAAACATACCATATGTTTATTGACTAATTCCACCCAAAAATATGAATTTTTATTAAAAACTAGCTGACCTGGCGAACTTCGTACCGCCTTATTTATTTTTTATTTATTTAAACTTTATTACACAAAAAAATAATATTGTACAAAAGGCGTACTTAATGCCGTAAGGCATTCTCTGCCAGTCACATCGCTAGCGACCCGCCCCGGCTTCGCACGGAAGTAAAAAACCGCATCAAAATCCGTTGCGTAGTTTCAATGATTTAAGCATACAAAGGGACAGACAGAGAAAGCGACTTTCCTTTTTCAAACAAAAACCTGTGTGTCAAAAACTTTAATAACCTTATTGTTGGCGCGGCGGGTATGTCACAAATTACCACAGATCACTATGTAAGTCATGTGAAGTTTATATATGCGTTTTGAAATCACACACATAGATGGCGCGACAACGGGAAACGGGTTTTATTTTTTTTCAATCTTTCCGAGACATTTTCCTAATATTTTTTTCCGTAAGAACCTTCTACAGAGTATTTGAAAACTGCAAAAAAAAAATCAGCCAAATCGGTCTAGCCGTTTTCATGTGATGGCTTGACCACGCGAAACGGGTTTCATTTTTATATATATAGATGAATCAATCTAGATGGTAATAAAAAATATACTGTTGCTTTATTGCCGATTGAAGACATTGCCACTAGTATAATGTTTACGGAAGTATATTGCGGTTGAAACACTCGAACATTCACATGTAGAGATCCGTATTGCTCCGCACGGGACACGAGAGTAAGTCGATGAATTTGAGCAGCAAACAAACAATGAGCCAACAACGATTTCTTATTATGTCTGTGGCTTTTGCGGGCTCCTTACTATTGCTCTATTGTCCGACGCAAGAAAAGAAATATACACCATTGTACATACCTACTCATATAACACTCAAAAAAACGAATTGGTAAAAAAGCTGCCAGACAATTGATTGAGAACCCTATTATTAAGTAATTAGACTGTACCCTTCTCAACGAACAAACAAAACGAAAAAAATCCCAATTATAATCAATAAAAAACTTGGTAGCTACCGACTACCGACTACCGACTGAATCCCTAATGGAAATATTATTTGTTATTATCGATATTTTTTTTGCTTCTTTTCGTGTATGCGGGCAGTGTATTAGAGGCTGCGGTTTGTTGATCGAGTAGCATTTAGGGTTGGTTATGATTGCCGTTGCTGTGTAATATATTATTTATTGGATTGTGTGCGGGGCGCCCCGGTGGTTGTAATTGTATTTAAGATAAGCTGCGCACCCGAGCGCGGGCGCTATCGACGTTTATGGTCATATGGGATATAAATGGCTTTTAATTATTTCCCCCCGGGCTACACATGTTTTGTGGGATTTATTTCTTGACGATCGAAAAGCGACCCGAAACTTTCTCTTCTTCCGCTGCGGAATATAACGTAAACGAAAAAAAATCCAGCATGCGGTAAAAGCGTGTCAGAATCGGAAGAGATAGGCACAAAATAACGTCTGATTTATTGCTTGTGGTTAAATCGCAAGTAATCAAAATAGAAATA